TTTCTCACAGAAGAAGTTTATATGTGGCCTCTAGAAGGGTATAAAATGGCTAAAGAATGAGAAATTTGCAAGTTAAGGAGATCTCTTTATGGCCTTAAACAGGCTTCTAGAGAATGGAATTTAGAATTTTGCAAGAAATTGCAAACTTATGGTTTTCTGCAATCACAGCATGATCATTGCCTTTTTACTTTGAAATCTTCACCTATTTTCTAGCTCTACTTGTGTACGTGAATGATGTTTTAATTACAGGAACTTGTGAAGAGAAGATCTTAGTTGTGAAGAAGTTTTTGGATACTGAATTCACCATCAAAGATCTTGGTTTTGCAAGATACTTCTTGGGAATTGAGATTGCACGCAGTGATACTAGCACTTATATTAATTAGAGAAAGTATGCCTTAGATATTGTTACAGATGTTGGATTATTGGGTGCCAAGCCTACTACAAGTCCTCTACCTAAAGGCCATAAATTATCTTCTCAAGCAGGAGATCTTTTACTTGATCCTGACAAATATCGCAGATTGGTGGGAAGATTATTRTATTTGAATCTTACTCGACCAGATTTGACTTATGCATTTCAACAATTAAGTCAATTCATTAATTTACCCTGCAAAAGCCACCGGTAAGCAGCTCTACATGTTGTTAAATACTTAAAGGGCACACTCAGTAAGGGGCTTTATTTTTCTATACAGGATTCTTTCAAGTTACAAGCATTCAGTGATGCTGACTGGGCTTCCTGCATTGACACTCATCGTTCACTCACTGGATTCTGTATTTATCTTGGTCACTCTCTTATCTCATGGAAAACAAAAAAAATAAACCACAGTGTCACGTTCTTCAACAGAGGCTGAATACCGCAGCATGGCTTCCACAGTCTGTGAATTGCAATGAATAACTTATATTCTAAAAGATTTGCAAATTCCACTGCACYTTCCCATTCCTTTGTGGTGTGACAATCAGGTCACCCTTCATATCATTGCCAATCACGTTTTCCATGAGAGAACCAAACATTTGGAGATTGACTGCCACTTGGTTCGCAATCAATTCAAACAGGGATTTGTTCGTCCTCAGCACCTCTAGTAAACAGCAAGTGGCAGACATGTTTACCAAAGCTTTAGCTCCTCCTCAATTTCATTTGATGTTGTCCAAGTTGGGCATGATGGATTTCCATCACAATCCAACTTGAGGGGGGATGTACAATACCTGCATATTCAATGTCTCATTACAACTCATCCTTGACCATGACTATTTATAAAATTTTTTTTGGTAAAATCACGCATCCTTGACCATGACTATTATGGGTGGCTGTTTTTTCTTTTTGTGGCGTGTGTGGGTAGGCGCCAACCGATGACTCGGTCTCAGCACCACCCTCAATGCCTATCCACCCAAAAGAAAGACCATAAACTAAGGCTTTGTTTGGCATATTTTTTTATATAAGTTATTGGCTGCTTAGTAGCTCGATTTTTTATCTTTTCCCGTTTCATTACGAAAAGACGTGCATATTTTTTTATCTTTTATCTCTAAATGAAGTTTGACGTGTCTTAATCAAACTATTTTGCTAAAATCTTAAAACAAAAGTTCACACATTCTTATAATTATATTTTATTCTTATACATAAAGAAAATGAATTCAAATCTGGGGCGCCCCACAACATCTCACAGTATATCCTCATCATGTATTGGGAATATCTCCCGATATCATTTCCCAATAGAGGGGGCAGTGATGTTGTGGCAGCGCTGCAGCGAATATTAATCTTTACATCTAATATGTACGTCAATTGGATAATATGCAGCCGGCAGGAATCTGGATCTATCACGTCAATTGAAACACGTTCAAATCTGTACAATTAATCACGCGTGCGTGACTAAAATCATCGTAGAAGGAGGCTTCGCTGATCTCTGCGTCAGTTGAATGCTTCATATTTCCTATTCTTTGAATGAATGAAGCATCAGTTGAATGAATGAAGCATCTTTGAATGCTTCAAGGGACACAAGATGCTCTTATATCATCCACAATAATATTCTTATAATAACTGGGTGGGTTTGGAATAGATATCATATTTTTCATTAAGTTACGATTCTGATTTTTATTCATCATTCCAACTTTTAAATAAATTCTAGTTTTCAATCCGGTTTATTCCATCCCTATCAAGGTAATTTTTATCCCCAACCCAATGGGATCAAACAAGTAGAGTACCCAATAGGAATTGGGAAAATTGTTATTTTTTATTTTTAATTCAGATTCTTTAACTCAAACAAATGTTTTGACTATTTCAATTTGGCTCGTCAAAATAACTTATGGCTTCAGTTTGAGTTTGAATTCGATTCGAGCTAAAAATTTGAGCTCAAATTCAGCTCGACTCAAAAGTTCATATGTTTGAGTTTGTCTCAGTTCAAGCTCAACTACCAATCAAGCTTCCCATATAAAAAATAATATATATAAAAATAAAAATATTATATATATATATATATATAAATCTAATTAGACTCATGAGCCCCACAAGACAAGTTTAATTAGATTCAAATTTAGCTTGATTAATAAACGGGCCTATATATTAGATTTGAAATCAGTTTGAAGCTTGATTTAAACCAAGTCAAGCTCAAATAATTTATGAAAAGTTCAATTGGAATCCACCCCTTAAAACAGTAGCATATATAAAAAAATTAGGGGTTCTTTTGAGTCAACAATGTGATCAATTCTATTAAATGCTTTGAAAATAATTTAGTAACCCCTTGCGTTTTTTCGGTAGACAACAAAGACACTAACAACATCTAGGGGTAGTGCAGTTCCACGGATCATTGCATCTGTTTCTCTCGATCAAACTTCTGTTCGGGAAAATTGCATTTTCCACGCCGTTATTATGACCCAATTTAGCCAAGAGATCTGCTACCATATTGGTTTCCTTGAAAATATAGGGTCAATGCACCTGACTGTTACTAATGAGTCACCTTCGATTATTGCTTTCAGTAATTTATATTGCTAACTCAAATCTACTGTACATTGAAAGAAAATGTGTTAAAAGGTTATTGTGTGCAGTTTAAACGAAAATAATTACTTTTTGGTTGAGGAACTGTTAAAAGTTTAAGTTGTTACCTGAAATCCTTGAATTTGAATAGAGTTTTATTCTCTAAAGTTTAATCACAAGTTCTCTCATATCTTGCGCTGAAATTAATTATTATAAAATTAATAAGGATCAAACACTACACCATTTAATTAAAGAGGCTTCGATATCATTTTGAAGAATCATTCAACCTAAAACATTAAGCTGTTAGTAAGGTCATTCAATAGAAAAGCCCTTGCTTCTTGAAAGGAGGAAGCCATCCTTTTCACCATGGATAACAAGGCCACAACTCATTGTTTTAGATTTTTTTTTTTTTGAAATTTTGGATAAGATGGCTTTTAACCAATGTTTTAAAAATCAATCCGAAGGCCAAACCATTTTTTCCTCTGGGCTGCATTATGTCACCGGATTGAATGGGTCAAACCGTCTCATATGTATATATTGTGTGTGTGTGTGTAAATATATATTTTATCAATAAATAATTTATAATTATGTTTTAAATATGTGATGTGTATTTTTATATTTAATTTATGTTTTTTAATTCAGTTTAAAATTTTTTATTTATAAAAATATTAAAAATTGTAATTTAAGGCCAAAAAAGGGGTTTTTGTGAAAATAGCGGGGCAAGGTGCCTACAGCTCCTTGGGACACCTAGGTCTCGAGAAGTTACCCACAATAAAAAATTAAAAAAAAAAAAAAAGATCACTCCAATCGGACATCGAAGTACAAAGTTATGACCTCTGAAAATTTGTATGCATTGAATGTGCAACTCGCAACCCGATAACCTAGTTCCTTCAAAAATCTAATACTAGTAAAGTAAACCACATAGTTAGGCAACAACGAGTTATTGAACTTCTATCAAAAAAATCAAAGAGTCAGCTAGCGCCAATGTTATCTTCTGATCCTCACCTAGTGGCAAGAGTCCCACCCTTAAAAAGTCCCTTTTTTTCCTGCTTACTTTTTTGTTAGGCAGAAGAATCCTTCAGAATTTGTTCTTGTCCCACCACCTCATGTCTTTTTCTTTTCCCACCATTTCATTAGATTTTCCAACCCAGCCAACCTCTGTAATCTATGGTTACTGTATCATACTGCAATGCAGCAATTAATTTGTTTTGATATTTTGTTTTCAAATATCCAATTCTGAAAATGAGAGTAGTGGAAACACAAATGTTGAGATGGATAAATGAGAAAATTAGAAAGAATAGGAGAAAAAATGAAAACACAGGAGTGACTCTAACAAGTGATCAACGAGGAAAGTAGATTAAAATGGTTTGGGCACATGCAGAAAAGACTATCTATAAAACCACTAAGAGGTGATTTATTACAAGAGAGTTAGAAGAGCCAGGAATATGCCAGAAAGGACAGTGGTTGAAGTAATGAAAAAAGATTTAAGGGTCACCGATTTATGTACTGAACAAGGAGGGAATGGCAGAACAGAATTTATGTAGCTAACCTCGTATAGTTGGCACAAGGCTTAGATAACGATGATCTAAATACAACCTCTGAAGTCCAAGCACATAAAGTTCAAGCAAGCTAGCTGCCTCCATAGTCCATACTATGTAATGTAGCATGTAAAATATTATTGTCCTTTTGTACTTGTGATCAAATCTTCGACAGGCTCAGACAAGATAAATTCCTACTGAAGAAGTTACCAAAAATGCACTTGTTAGCCTTTCAAGGAAAAACGTTTTAAGTATTGCATGGATGGATCATTTTTTGTTGTGGTCCCACTTGGTAACATGACAGGGCGCTTGAAACAATAGTAATTCCAAACTTTAATTATGTAAGTTAATAGAAGACAAACTTGTAATGCACTTCACTTGGTAACATGAGAGGGCACTTGAAACAATAATAATTCCAAAACTGTAGTTACACAAGTTAATGGAAGACAAACGTGTAAGGTCAAAATCCGTATCTTTACACTACACAATACACAGACAGTAAAGGTCAAAATGCTAATCGAACATCCTTTTTCTGTTGTTTTAAATACTGTATTGCAATTAAAAATTCATATAACACAAACTTGTAATGTATTTCTCATTGTTAAAAGATATACAAAAGGAAGTATTAAAAAACACTCCATCGTTTTACACTGCAGAAACAAGTAAGTTAGGTGTCAGAGGCACCATCCCTTTTTACTCCAGCAGTAGGAACATAAATATGAGAAATATTAACCAATCACTGTGTGTGAGTTTGTTGAGGTAAGAATGTTCATTTCTATCAGAATAAATGCATGTAGAATCACGATCATGGTAATCTGGGAGCATTAACAACACATAGTGGAGAAATTTCAGAAAGCAATGTAAGGTAACAGACCATGTGACTATTTGCTAAAACGTTGGCAAGAAAGATGAACTTCAATTGAAGCATGTAAACCTCCACCCAGAAAAGACGTTCCTGTAATTGGAGCCATAAGACTTGCTTTAACAGGAGAATATTAAAAATTAAAATAAAAGAAAGAGAAGAAAATGCTACAAAATGACATATATCAAGTACCTTTTAGGTAGCTTATCTATAATACACATATATAACCAGATATATGCATAGGTCTACATATGCATGCATATGTAGATTTATATGTGTGAATGTAAGATACAGTAAGACAACATCAGAACATAAAATTTGGTTTAATGGACGAATTAAGGGTTAATGATTAGTAAAAATCAACTTGGGCAATTCAGATAGTTTCCTCAATTATTTTTACACTCAAATAAATGAAAACTATGTAAGAATTACAACAAAATGAGAACAAGGAGACACATTTCTTGGGAGATTATTTTACTCAAATAACAACTGATGAATCCCCACCAAAAGACAAAGTACAAAATTTATTAGATGAAGGTAGTGAGTGAACAAAAAAGCTCTTTGCCAAGTAGGGGATTCTAATCTTCTGTTGTCAACTACCAAATCAAGGTTGAAATAGAGTTTATTATCTCTCTTATTCAACATTTACTTATCCATTTTGGTTTTACAATCCAGAAAGGAGAGTTGCCTAACTGTTGCTAACACAATGTTGCCAATATGAACATAAATTTTTTTTTAACCTTATGTTCCTCTTGGTTCTTCTTCCAAGACTAAAACTAATCCCACAAGTCAGGCTTATGTCGCATAGGATACGCTGCATAAACTGTGGATGTGGATAGATGTCTTGTAGATCAAGCCTAGGGCCTCTTTTCCACATCTTATTTGCAATAAACAATTTGCTGCACAAGGTGGAAGCAATGTGATGATTAAACAAACAATTTTCAAAAGCACTATTTTCCCATTAACTTTTACAGGAAACTACTTCAAATGGTGTACTAGTGTGCTCAACTGAATGGTAGGAACATGGAGCTTAATAACAGGATAAAGGCATCAATTATGTGTATCACTCATTCATACAAGAAAGCCTTTTGTGATAATAGCATTTATCACAAACATGCCTAATTTTCAGTTAGAGACTTTCCAATTTAATCTGATTCCTATAGGGGTTTCAGGGATGCATTGCACGACAGCAAGAAGAGCATACCAGTTAGATTCACAAGGGTGGTTTGGGAATGTTTTAATATGTTGAATGGAGTGGTGACATAGGTCATAGTGTAGCCTGTTTCTCTTGTATCCAGTGGGAGAGTGCCAAGAAGGGGATTAGATCGCCTTGAGCCATGAATAGAAACATAACCACACTTTCCCTTTGATCCAGGGTTGATTGGAGAGAGAGAGAGAGATTTCTCCTCCTGTTGACTACAACTCCAGGCCTATAAAGATGTTCCCATTATCTCTGTAAGGGCAAAATGTTTTATAAAAGTGAAAAACAGAAGTAGGGGAAGGTCTGTTGGATCTTCCTTTGATAACCGCATGACACCAGCCAGAGTGCAACATTGCACCTGGTTAACAGCTTGAATTTTCTCAGGATATATACTCTGAGGTATCTACTGATGTATGTTACAGGTCAGTAAAGTAATATGTTTGAATCATATTTGGAACTTGTAAATCCTTACTAAGAACAACTAAAAGTGACTTCATGACCGTTCAGCCTTCTAGTTAAACATATTATGCTTGAGGCAACTTTAAATGCACATGAGATATTCTATAGAGATTGCATGAAATATGTGAAACATTACCTCTAAAAAAGCAAACTTTCTAGAGGTTTTAAGAAAATCAATATACTTACAAAAGTGAACATCCTTGTTGTGGTTTTCTTTTCTTCTCCTTCTGTTTTTGCGGTGGCTTAATAACTACCTTGATTGCAGCATCGAAAACTGCTTTTACATTCTGCACATCAGAATATTGTATAGAAATATTAGCCTACAGATGCAGATAGAATATCTCTCTGCAACTTTATCCATTGAAGAAGCTTAAAACGCATTTCTGATGAAACCACACACACACACACACACACACACACACACACACACACATATATATATATATATATATATCAAAATGCCAACAAAATGCCCACCTATTAAACAAAAAAACTACCAAATTGGACATTCTTAACCATCCTAAATAACTATTCTTTTTGACTTACATGAGAAGTATGGTAAACATTCCAAGGAGAAAAAGTCCAAATAATGGGGGCATCATCTCAAACTCAAGAGCCCTTTTCAAGATTATTCATAAGAATCAAAATTGGACATCTTAGGAAAAAGCATATGGGTATTGAGCCTTAACTCTGATGGATCTACTTGTAATCATGATCTGCAACCAAAGTAGTCAATTTTGGTTTGGATATAGGTTTTGGCCTCCTTCAAAAYGATTTTTTTAAGAAAAAGAAACTGTAGGAATTTCAAAATTTCAGACAAGATGCAAGGAAAAAAAATCTGTTATATAAGAAAAGATTTTATATTCTTTCCTATTTTATCTATTTTTGTCCACATTTTTTCTCTCAATCAATTACTTCCTATTTCTTCCTTTCTAATCTAAATTTCTAAAACCTTTCCCATTTCTCTTAGATCTCTGTATATATTGAGTTGTATATCTCATTTCAATGGCAGTCAAAACCAGAATGAAATGTCAAAAGTTTGAAAGATTTCTATGAAACTGAAAACCTCTTTGTGCAACCAAAAATTGAATATGCCCCCTTTTATATCTCATCTCCTGAAAAGCTCCAATTTAGCTTCTGGAACTTAGGAGGATAAAAAAGATCCAAGGATTTTCTAGACCACAGTGTGGAGTGTAATATCATTGAATTTGACTTGTGATGCATAACTAAAGTTTTTTGAGCTCTCAGATTCCCTGTACTGAGACACCAAAAATCTCCAGGAAAACTACAAAGAAAAAGAAATGGGGATTCTCATTTCAGGGATCTTAGATAACAAAAAGCTGTTATATACTTTGGAATACCTTAGCCTTCCATTATGCTACAAATAATAAATATTTACCTTCATGTTTTGATTCATTTTTTAATGCACTACTTTTCCAGTAAATTCCATCTCGTCCAGACAAAAGAATAATGTTAAAGATTAGACAGTTACAAATATCTGATGTGGCTACATAGGGGTTCTCTCATGCTAGATCTGTCTATTGGTCCCCCCCATGGGAATTAATACTATGTTGCAATTCCATGATGTAGCTTGTCTTTATAATAACAGCAATATAAAATTAAGGAACAGATTAGGCTGCAAAAGTAAGAACTTGTTTTATCAGTACCTGCTGAGTTTTTGAGCTGCACTCAATGTAATAAGCAGCACCTATCTGTTTCCGGAGTTCCTCTCCCTGAGAATAACAACAATAAACTACAATTACCAAGAAAACATATTTCAATCTTCCAGAGCAAAGGACTAATATATAACAAGATGGCCATACTCTACATGGAAAGAAATTATACCTGTGCAGTGGTTATAGGCACCAATCCAGGATGATCAGCCAAATAGTGCCTGTCTTCACGAAGATCTGAGAATCCATTGTATACTGTAAGTCCATAGAAGACATAGGACAACAACATAAGTTTATCCTACACAGCACAGTGAGAAACAAGGGAAACATATCCAACACAGTACTTAACATATAAACATCATATAAGCTTCAGGATCTTATGTTCTACTACTATTATTTTCTTATACCATCCACCCAAAGATGCTATACACTGGATCAATCAGTTGCCTTGTTCAGTTACACAAAAGAACGGCATACTGCATACATTGGACAACCTCTATATTGCTCCTGCAGATATAGCCTAAAAGGAATTTACAATGCCAAAACTGTTTTTTGATGTTGACTGGTGTTGCAAATTTGTTCAGATCAGGCTAAATGAGTCTGAGAGTCAATTTTCAGACAACAACGATCTAGAGAATTTTAATTTGTATCAAATTCCAAACTGTGGGTATGATGATTATTGGAAGTTCTTATATTCTTGATCAAGGACTTACACAAGCATGTATGTATAGCAACAGAGATACAAGGGTGCATTATTGTTTTATTGGATGCAACCTTTATTACTCTTTAGTATCATCATCTAATCCTTGTCCTAACTAGGAGAGCAAGTCAGGCGGGCTGGGCCGGATTTGAGCTCAACCCAAGCCCAACCCTAAGAATTGAACGTAAGGCCCAAGACCGAGCTCACACCCAAACTGTCCAACCCAAGCCCAGCCTGTACTAAAATTTCATGCACTCAGGTTGAGCTCGGGCCTGGGTTGGGATTGGGTTGGTCAATCAGCCCACACTAAAAATTAACATAAATCTATGTGTATATGCATGCATGTATGCATATATGTTTGGTTTACCAAAAAAAGCATGTAAATATGCATGTATGAAGTCAGGTCAAGCCGGGCTCAGGACGGGTTTGGGTTGCCTAAAGGTTAGGCCCGAGCCTAGCACAAAAAATATAAGAGCCCGAACTTTTGGGGCCAGGCCCAGCCCAAGGACCGAAAATCCAAGCCCAACCCATGTAAAATTATGGGTTGGGTCGGTCCTGTCCAAGTTGCACACCCCTGGTCCTAACTATATGGGGTTGGCTACATGAATTCTATTTCGCCAATTCATTCGTCTTGGCAGCATGGATGTATTATTGTTTTATTGGATGCAACCTTTGTTGCTCTTTATATAGTTGCAAATGGTCATCATAAATAAGTTAGACAAGATGCAACCTAGTAGATAGTATCATGGCATATATAAATGTAATTTCAGAAACAGTTATAGAAAACCAAGGGAGATAATGCACCCAATGTCATCCTATGCATAAAGGAAATTGAAGATGCCTGAGTGGCCCATCCTGCCCCCTTTGTGGTGGGCATAGGTAAGTCGTTAGCTTTTGGGATGACTCTAATCCTCCACCTTACCGAAGGCTATGCTAGTTAATATGAGGTAGACTTTTGATAACATGGCAACCCAGCTGTAAGCAATAAGATGGCAGTGAAAAGGGTATACTGCCATTAGCTTCAGATGTATGGCTGCAATGATTAGTAGATCTTGAGTCTAATACAGATGGTTGTAGAATACAAAAATCTGAAAAAAAAAATATGGGTAAGTATTCTCTTCAATAGTGATGCTTTCCATTAATCCCTAGATCAAAGAAAAGAGGTTTAATCCAACAAAGCCTCTAGAACCTGGGTATTTTTTTCAAGAGACTGAACTAAAATTGGAACAATTATATCTATTAGAAAGGAAAAGGGAAAAAAGAACTGATGCATCACTAAATTGCTCTAATGATCAATGTACCAAAAATACTTCTATACTAAGGTTCCCTGATTATAAACATTCTGGCATGGAATCATTTTTTCTTTGAATCCTAATATTGATCATATTTGAATTCCTACAAAGCTGGAATGTTCTAATATGTATAAAAATGAAAAGAAGAATAATGCCCATTTCTATGCCCTAGCCATTCTGATTCCTAATGGAAAATTTCTATTCAATCTCATTTTTGCAAAGTTTATTAGGTGGTCATTGCATTTATTTAACAGTAAAGAATGATATGGATCATGGTGTTAATAATAATGAATAATAATAGCTGAGATCTAGCCAATTTGTGAAGATTTCAAATGACAACTCAACAATGTTAAGTTCCAGTTCATTATAGCAAACTCAATCCTTGCCAATGCTGATCAAGAAATAACAAGAAACTGCAGAAGGCACAAAGAGCAATCAAGTATAGCAGATAACCATGAAGTTAATCAGAAACCAGAGATGAAAAATATATAGACTTGTATAAGAGGGTGGTAAGAAACATTTGTAGTCCGCATATTTAAGTCCTATCTTACCCAATTTAGTGCCGGCAAGAACAACTGGAACTCCAGGAGCAAAATGTTGCAGTTCTGGGATCCACTGGCCAAGGAATCATCTCTCAGAAGAAGCTATATATATGAGAAAAGCTCATCTAATGATCTAAGTATCAAGGGATAGAAACATAGTTCTCGGGAATGTGCACCTTTTTGAGTACATTCTCATAGCTTGCACGGCTAACCAGAGAGAATGCTAAGACAAACACATCCGCTCCTCTGTAGCTCAAGGGCCTTAATCTATTATAATCCTCTTGCCCTGACAACAGAAGTGATATTTTCTTCATGAGCGCAAACCAAAAGCATTAAAATACATATGCATAACAATATAGAGATTAGATATACCCAATTAAGCAAGGCTTCAGGAAGTAAATCAAATTTGAAGCTTAAGAATAAATTGAAAATAAAAAACTTTGAAGCCAAAATTGTTCAAAATGTTGCCAGAATTTACCAGCAGTATCCCAGAGGCCCAAATTGACAGTAGTTCCTTCGATGACCACATTGGCGCTGAAATTATCGAAAACCGTTGGTATATAGTCCTATAGAAACCATCATTGTCAGAGAAATAGAACAAAACTGAGAAAAACACCTAGAAGAATTAATCACTTGGGAGAAAAGGAAAAAAAAAATGTACAAACATGATATACACAGCATAAAACAACAAAATACATAAATAATTGCAGTATGTGTCAGCCTAAATTAGTTAAAAGAATACATAACGGATCCAGAAAAACAAAAGCCTGTATAACCCAGATGGATTCTTGAGATAAAGAAGAGACTTACGGTAGGGAATTTGTTACTTGTGTAGCAGATAAGCATGCAGGTTTTCCCAACAGCCCCATCTCCAACTGTAACACATTTGATGAATCTTGATGCGCTTGATGCCATTGAAGAAAGGGAATTGCATGAAGAAAAGGAAAATATAGACGACAAAAGCAAACGGTGGGTGGGTTAGTTGGTTTCTTGCTTTTCAAGAAGGGAGGAAACAGAGGTAGATCACGTCACATGATACACACCCTCAATCTATGTCTGTAGTAGTACAATACATCTTCTTTTCTTTACAGTATGGGACATACATATTTAAGGTTTTACTTGTTTGAATTGAAGGGTGGACCTGCATTTAATAAAACCTGCTGAGAGTATCAGAGAGAGTGATGGGAGTTTTCTTTGGAGCAGTGGATATCAAAGCCCAATTGAGACTTGAAGAGTAGATAAATTAAATATAATTTTTTCTTTTTTCTTTTGGGTATTAGAGAGATGGGGGAGAGAGAGAGAGCAGATAAAATGTATCTAGACAACTATAATTGACCAGAACACTACTACAAATTTACAAATTACAATCCATTCGACGACTTTTTTATCTGCGAGTAAACGTTGCTGGCGATTACCAAAAAAAAAACGTTGCTGGTTACCCAATATGGACATGACACCTGTACCTAGTTCGTGTAACGATATTCACACGTGTAAGAGAAGACCGATTGGGAAGTTAGGAATAGGATTCTGTCCCATGTTGCTTACCCATTTCTTTGTGCGTTGTGCATCATCATCCTCCTTCATTGTAGCTCTGCAACTTCACCACCGAAGGGTTCCCTCCTTTGGAATGGCGATACCGTGGCCTAATATAAATAGAGAAATACAGGAAGGTTGGAGAAGAGGGATTCATCTTGCACCGCAACATGTCTTTTGTTAAGGCTCCTGGATGAAACCTGATCGATCTGTAAGAGAAAATGGCCCAAAACCAATACCAAATTTCAAGCAATCCACTGAATGAAATGCACAAACTTATTGAAGATCAAACGAATTAAATGGAGAAAATGTCAAGAACCAAATGCTGTTCAAGCAAAACACCCTGAGATTTATTATAGTTTCTCCGAAAAACAGTTTAATTCCACACGAATCTACTGTCTACAGCAAAGAAGAATCCTCCTCCCAGCCAGTGTCCAAATCCACTGAAAAGCAAATACTGTGAATCTTGAAGACTCGCATCGTTCCTAACGTATTCACCGGAAAGAAACCCCACATACTCTAGTCAATCGAGTTGTGAGTGGCGAAGATAATGAAAGAGAGGCAGACAAAGAAAGACGGTTTTTTCTTGCAAGAAAGGAAGAAGGGATGAAAGGGCAGTTGTGTCCTGAGACGAAAGAGGAATACATGAATACGGTACAGATGGCATGTCCGTATTGGGTATCCAGCAATGGACACACGCACACCCTAAGTCCCTAATGCCATTAGCAGATCCAGACTTAAGAAAAATAAAATAATACAAATCATATCATATTTGAACCCAAATCAATAATCCACTGAAACAATCAAATGGTTCAAACAGTTCAATCATGTGGGAGACAGGTTGTTGATATGGGGCCGTTTAGAGAGTCTTTTTGGGATGATGTTATGGTAGCTCTGACAGTTAAAAGATTCATTGAATGGTCTGAACCTAGTTGGGCTATCGCTCATCTTTCCATTCATCTTTCTGTACCTGAGAATAAACATGGAGTTTGGCGTGGGTGTTTTTTGGGGTCGATTTTTAAGAAAAAATGTATATGCTTTTAAGTTCCGTTTAAAAATATATATATATATATATATATATATATATATTTTTGTTATATAGGCAGTAAATAATATTATACTATTTGGTAATGAGATTTTTATCACCGTTTTGTATGTCTGTACTGATAGATAAGCACCACATAAGATATATATCAGTCAACCATTGAAAGAAACGGTTTACCGGTGCATGAAATTCATGTATTTGATACATTTAATTTTTTAATAATAAGCTGAACCAAACAGTGAGATACATTAAAAGCTTATATAGATCTAACATGGCACCGTTTTTTTAAAAAACAATCACAGTTCCAAAAACCCCCAAAATGAGAAAGACGTGAAAAGTTTTAATTGGAGCCATCGGAAATCAGTCTAAAATGGGTATATCGTATTTTTTCGGTGCACCAACTTTTGACAACTAGTATTAAAAGACCACAGTTTAGTTTGCCGACTTGTAAATAATTAAATGACTGCACGAAAAAACGTGCCAAACATGACCCAAATCAATGGTTTTGTATAACACAACATAGTGGGTTAAGTTGAGGTGGCCGACAAACCGGCCGAGTCAAGAATGGATTAAGGACACCGTCTTGTATACCATGATACCATGTACCTGGAACATTCTGCGTGGGAGGGATTTATTTTAGGTGCACGGAGCCCCGTTTTTTAACCCATTTTGAATGATACGTTGATTTTAGATGTTTGGTGTATGATGTATTTATACGACACGATATAAAAATGATATTATTATAGTAGTAGTAGTATTCACATGCACATACCTCACGAGTCACGAGTAGTAATCATGAGTACAATCTGTGTGAAATTATTAGATGGCTTTAGTGGGCCAACTATTACGGGAAGTAATATAATGAAAGTGAGAGAGAGAGAAACAAAGAGAGACATTAAGGATATATTTGGTTTGAAAGGAAAAGGTAGGGAAAAGGATGGAAAAGTGAGGAAATTTATACAAGATTTAAAGGGTTTTTTATTTTTCCCTTCGTTTTCTTACGTTTTCTTTCAAACCAAACACAGTAATGGATACTTCTATGGATGATCATATAACCAATTAATTATGGTATCCTCAGCCTATCAAGTTATTCATTTAAAATTGATTTTTTTATTCTTCTTTTCTTTATTTTCTTGTTTTTTATGTTGGTAGAAACACATTTGAATTGTTTGGTGAAATTCATAACTTGCATCTAATTTTTGGTTTTTAATATACTTTGTTTGTATTTGGTATTATTGCCATTTGTTCATGTCAGAGTCATACAGGCGTTTTATCCTTTAATCTATTTTTTTTTATTTGATTTAATGATTTTTAAGTATTTCCATACCATTTCAAGCAACACTCATACTTTGGGTTATGTAAAGGGTATATAGTCACAAAATAGTATAAATAAATTAGACTAAAAGGACCAAAAGGAACTCCAGAAGAAAATGTTTTGCAATGGACAAAATGTTTCCACTTTCCACCTTTTCGCTCGTGTGGCGCCTAATGAAACTTAACTGGTATTAAATAATATTAAAAAAAAAGTATGCATAGAATCCAAAGTACTTTATTGAATTCTAAGGTGCGGCAAACAAGACCTTTGTTGTAGCACAAAAGGCCCATGCATTTCCGTGTGATGAGTAATAAGCTATATATATATATATATATATATATATATATATATATATATATATATATATATATATATATATATATATATATATATATATATATATATATATATCGAATTACTGTATGGATTGGAGGCACTAACACTCTAACAGGGATATGGCAGTAGTAGACCTCAACGCTCAATAGTTTCATTGCCCCAGAGTATCCAATGTCTTTGGGCAATTAAAACATGCATTAATTCGGGGTCGAGACTTGAGATTAATAATGGGAGAATAATTCCCTATAGACCGATGAGACTAATCTGTAATCTTTATTCTATGATCACCCTCTAACCAACCTACTTTTAGATAATTAAGACGACCCATAAGGATAGATGAGCAAAGTAGGAGGAGGAGTTGTGTTTGTGTTGATCCAAGTGTAAACTGGTTAGGATTAAGGGCTCTGCTCTTACATGCAGAAATACAGTCCTTGTTCATATATAAGAATGATGATGATGGTCTTAACCATTTTTATTTGGAAATGACAATAACATGATAAATCCATAATCCCCAAAAACCTAGGTGCAGGAAAATTTGATCCCAAGTCTCGACTATAACCAATAAGAGACCTTGCCAACCAACTGCTAATTTTAATTATATGGGATCGGCTAAAAACTATGCATGGATGGTCAAGTTAGAACCGGTTAAGGATGGATCGACCCAAACTGAGTTGATAGCTAGTAAATAATTGGGAGCCATTAGTCAACCTGAATGTTGTGAGTCACTGTGTCGACCACTTCGTTTAGTTCAACTTGCTTGGGGAAGAGGAGAAAACATAGTTAATTGTACACCCACCAAGCATTGTATTAGCTGCTGCAGCTTGTTATAAACTAAATGAAATGATGCTCATGCTTTTAAGGGAAAGAGTTTTCATAAAGGCTAGGTTGGCTCCTCACTTTATGTTGTAGGACTTGAGCAAAAGGTAGCTATAAAGCAAGCAATGGTGAGGAAAGTGAAATGATTGGAGACTGTGAGATGGTCCAAAGGCACAAGTAAAGACCAAGCAACATGAGAGCAACGTTACAGTTTCAGGCGAAAAAATAGCGAGGTCTGTGTGCTGGATTTCTAGAAAAAACTTGGAGAATTTCCGTTTATGCTACAGATTCAACAAATTAAACTTAGTTTTCATATTTTTAGAGATCGGAAAGGGCTCACTTGGCTAGATTCTTTAGGCAACGTCTGGTTTGATATAAAATAGATAAATAGAAAATAGTAAAGAGGTTAGAATTTAATAATGAATATAACACTAAATAAAATGAAATGGTAAAAAATTTTCATTATGTATGATAGAAATAGTAAGAGGTTAGAATTTAATAATGAATATAACACTAAATAAAATGAAATGATAAAGAATTTATGTAACTGACCCCATATAATTGAGACAAAGCTTGGATGATCGATGATATATAATTTTGGATAGCCGTAACAATGGCAAAATAACTGCAGTAGTTAGTGCTATGGTAGTAGCTATTGGGACTGGGGCCGTGGGGCGGGGCTAAACTTGGATTGGACCTGGATTGTGGGTCTTGGATTAGGTTGGGCTAGACCCATTGGGCGGAATGTGCAAGTGAAGCCCAAATATATCCTCCCAAATCCCTATTAATTTCTAGGGGGTTAGTTACTTAAAAGTATCCCTCAACTAATTGACAGTTAATTAGAGTACCCTAAAGTTTGAAACCCTACTTAAATACCCATTAACATCTGAAAATCCATTACGTGCCATATTAAATTAGGCAAAATACTATTTTGTCTCTTCAAAATTTCAAAATATCACTTACCACCCAACGGAAGCTCCTCCCAAGCCAAAACCATGAACTCTCAATTTTGAGGTGGTGGGTTTAAGCTTTAGGAGAAAAGACAAGAAGATGGTGGTTTTAGAGGAATCCACCTCATTGCCCAATGAGATACCAGTAGGTTCATATGCTTTTGTAGATAGAAGTTGTTTTCGTTTTTTATACCGGGCGGTTACTTTATGGAGAAATTTCAGAGTTCAGACCAAGAAATCTCATTTTCCTGCAACAAATTCATCATCCTATTTATCTGATATTTGCATGGAACCATTTCATTGTGACTTTTGAAATGGGTCTCTTGGGAAATTTTAGGGATAAACCTCTGGTATGGGTAAAATCTGTGGTAAGGGCAAAATTGGGTTTTCAAACAAATTAAAAATGTCATGTAATATCACATGTAAATGGAATGTGACGGACAGTTAACAGAATATTGGTAAAAGTAGTATATGCCATATTTTGAAAAGTGTAAGGGTAATTTAAATAGGATTTCAAATTTTAGAGATATCTTAAAGGAAAATTTATGATGCAGAGAGGATAAGGTATGGAAAGAGTTTTGATCAATCAAAACCCACCCATGAATTTTGATAAATAACACCTCATTTGTTATCACATTTATGATTCCAGTTGATTGGTTAAATGTTTTTGGATATCATTTCAGCAAAACCTCCCTTCAAGTTTGTGACCATTGTTGAAATCCCCCCTAATGTTTAGTAATTGTAATCACCTCCCCTGAACTTTTTAATATAGTTGCAAGTAGACCTCATGTGATAGAGTATTCAAAAAGAACAGGCGAGAAAATGTCTAAAATACCCATACATTTACTATTGAGACTAGTTTCTATTAAAAAAGCAATATAAACTTTATGAACAATAGAAAACAAGTTGCAGCTTTACCTTTGAGTGATTGATATGAAAGGCAACTTTGAAAAATAAATCAATAAAAGAGAGTGGAAGGGTTGAGGTAGTGATTCATATGAAGAGAAAAATTGGAAAATGAACATTCTTTGTCAAAAGTAATTGCATGGGTATTTTGGACATTTTATGCCTTTTAAAAAAATTCTACCAAAAGGGGTCTACTTGAAACTATGATAGAAAGTTCAGGAGAAGTGATTTCAGTTTAATTCAATGTTTTTAAAACCAACCTGGAATCGAATCCGTTTTGGCCACCGGTTTTCAAATCAGCAGTTCAATTGTTCGGTTCGAACGGATGGTCTGTTCGAGCAGATGATTCAATGGTTTTGACTAGGGACTTGATTTGGGGTAAAACAAAATCGGTTGCATGGACAATTCCCAAGACAAAACGGTCCAACCATTTGAGTAAATGGCAGTTCGAAAACATTAATTTAACTTCATAAGAAGTTTCAACAACAACTAAATACTGCAGGAGAGAATTCAACAATTCACCCTTAAGGCTTAGTTTGGAAGGAGTACAAATACAAATATGTAGAGTGCAAAATTATGTATTTTGTATATATTTGTATAATTGTCAAACAATTTAACAATACAAATAAAATAAAGAGATAATGATGGTTCAATCTAGGGCCAGAAATTTTAGACCCAAAGTACAGTTGAGGTAAGTGCCAGCTTGGAATTGATATCAATTCACGCCGGCATTAATGTACAGAGTAGGGGTTTTTGACATTTTAAATGTTTATAGGTCTGCAATGGAATTCAATAACATAGGCTATTGAGACAGTTTCTAGGCTGGGCACGTTCTGGGTAGTTCACCTATTCACACCCATGCTTTGGTTTTTAGTCAAAATAAATTAAGATGTAATTACTAATTTACCCATTCTCATGGTAACATGAAAATTCCAGAAATTTTCTCAACATCATAGGCTATTGGCCCCCAACAATTATAGTTTTTCAAAAGATAGATCTTCTGATCTTGCCCCCAAAGGAATACTATCGTAGACCTTGGTTCTCCCTTCTAGATCTAATTATCAGCGGCTTCTATTAACCCAATTGCCATGGTAGTGTAATTTGACAACTGTGGATGGAAGATTATCGAATTTTATGATGTTATGAAACATGTGGTTAGCATAATTTGGCTGTTGGCCGTAAGAAGTTTTGAGAGCATTTTTATGGTATATGTTTATGTTTTGCAAAAATGTTCTCAATAATAGAAACTGTTGGCCCCCAACGTCAAAGTTTTTCTACAGTATATGTATATGGTAATGTGATATTTCCAAAAATGTTCTCAATAATAGAGATTGTTCGTTTTTGCCTCTGTTCATTCTCACTGTTATTCTGTCGCCTTTTTCATTTTTATCATTCCTTTGTTATTTTTTCGCCTTTCACTGTTCTTTATCACCATTCGTTTGTTTTCTCATTGTTCTTTTTCTTTTTCTATGTTTTTATTTGTTCTCTCTTCTCTCTGTTCTATTTTGCCTCTTTTTTGTGCTTTCTTTTCTTTCTACAGGCATTTTGACATGGGGTTATTTCTCTTAGATCTTTTATTGAGTAATCGCCCCCAGTGGATGTTGCCATTCATGATTGAGTCAGTTCACGATTCTCCGGCGGATCCAGTTCGTGGCCAGTTCTGTTTGCAGTTCTCTGGCGAAGGCATTTATAGTCTTTGGTAGCGGTCGTAATGTGTGGGGCTTTGTTGTCTTTTGCGGATTTGAGATCTCACCTGTCAGTTACAATCTCTTTTGGAAACCTTTTTTGTTAGTTTCACTCACCATTTGTGGTGTATTGGAGATGTGCTTGTCTACTTCTGTTGGTGCTTTTAATTCACATTTGTTTGGTCATAGAAATTCTTTTAGTTCACCTTTATCCATTTCTATATTTTGTTCTTCATGAAAAATTGAATATGGATTTTTTGATTGGCTTTGTTGGCAATTCTATGTATCAATTTCTTGAATGAATGAAATATGCTTGAAGCCTTCAAAAAATGTTTTTCTACGGTATAGACTATTGAGAGCGTTTTTAGGTTAAACACGGTTAACCAAACCGAACTGAACCGAGAAAATCAAACCGCAAAATGCGATTAACCAAATTTGTAATTTTTGAAAAACCGAAGGATCAGTTCAGCTTTCGGTTAACCTACAAAAAAACCAGCGATTAACCAAAGCAGTCGGTATATATATTTATATGTATATTTTATATATATTTTTAATATATGTCACATATTTTCTATATATTATAATAAATATATATTCATTATATATAAATATATACTTATATTATATTTATAATAATCTATTTATAAATATATTATATATTTTTAAAATATTATATATCATTTATTATTTATAATATAATATTATACATATATTTATATAATATATATTATAAGTATAAAAAACTAAAAAACCGAAGAACCGAGCCGTAATAGCAGTTTGATTTCAGTTTGGAAAAATAGAAAAACTGATACCACAAAAACACGTCTACGTTCACCTATTGAGGGATTCACATCTACCCCCACAGAATGCGCCCCAAAAACACCCCCCATACACATCTCAATTTATTTGTTTTGGGAGAGAATGGAGATTATCAAGCTTTCTTCTTTTTAATGTCGATGATACATTTTGTCGTAATGATTGAACCAGTTGAAACTCCAAAATGACACATCTCGTCTCAAGAAGGTGTTCCCAATTCAAGATTGAAATGTGCTGTGGGAGTGGAACGTTTTTGGGGCGCATTCTATTCTGGTTGTCCGTCCTCCTCAGTCGTTGTTCCATCAAATTCAAGATTCACCATGATAACTTGGAATTCACATATGCGCCTCACAGCGCGCCCCACATCCACATCTCTCATATTTGTCAGTAAATGCTCCCATTGCACGGTATGGATGTATGTGGGTCGCGCTCAGTGAGGCGCAGATGCGAATTCAGAACTTGACAACTGAGTACGGATGATGTGACGAAAAAGTGCACCATTCGCGGCGTTGCCGCTGGATTAAATGGACACGTGGCAAATCAAGTGAGTCCCCCGACTTTGAATCCTCACCGAGTGGCGGAGGTCCTGATCGATCTTAGGCTATACGATTTTTCCACGTGGCAAATCGAGTGGATCCCCTGCCTTTTGCACCAACGCACGAGACATCAAACAGACATGTATATTCGATCTGTCCCGCCATGAGGGCGGGGCGTCGTGACCCCTCCCCCTCCCCCCTCCCCCTTGCTCTGTCTATTCTCTCCCTCCTTTCTATTGTCTCGTCAAAACCACAGAAAAGAATCGAGAGAAAATTGTAAGCTTCGTATGTTCGAGCGATCTTTTTAATAAATGAACTCGACTCGCTTTTAAATTGTAGTATGTTGATCAGACATCAGTTCCCATTTAGAGTTGGTTTTATGATCATTTCTTATTTAATTTCTTCTATTTGCCGCCTTCATTTTTCAATAATCTAACGCATCTCAATACATCTCCCCCAATCTCTCTCTCTACAAAACGTCCTCTCTGGCTTTCTTCATTTGAGTTTCACTTTTTCTGTTATAGAAAAAAACGTCGAAAGGGAAAAAGAGAAGAGAGACCCTGAGAGTTCTCTGTTGCAGAAGAACCAAAAAAAAAGCCCTAATATCAGATGGGAGACCAGAAGAGGAGACGGGGTCGAAAACCCAAGAACCCAGTGGCCGATACTATGGATTTCCAAATGAACAATACCGAGACCACTTCCTCGGCTGCCATTGACGACGTTTTCTCCGTCGGCAATGTTGAAATTGCTGAGGACGATTCCCCCGTTGCCTCTACGGGGCGTGGTCGACCTTGCAAGGTTGCAAAGCATGCCGATACCAGTGCCGTCGCTTCTCCGGTGCGAAACATTTCTCGGGTAGTCGAAAACAATGGAGAGTGCGTGCTTGCTGTATCCGTCGCCGGCGATATTGCGAGGCATAGTTCGGTTGTTGAGCCACCTCCAAGGTGGGAAAATGTAGTGAAGGTTGTGCCTTCCATGGATGCGGTTGTTAAGGTGTTTTGTGTTCACACGGAGCCCAATTTCTCATTGCCGTGGCAGCGGAAGAGACAGTATAGTTCGAGTAGTAGTGGGTTCATAATTGGTGGACGGAGGGTATTGACAAATGCACACTCTGTAGAGCATCATACCCAGGTGAAGCTTAAGAAACGTGGTTCTGATACCAAGTATTTGGCGACAGTGCTTGCTATCGGGACTGAGTGTGATATCGGTAATCATTATCGCTCATTCACGGTTTTACATGTTTTCCCTACTTAGGTTTTTTACAACTTCGTAAACATTATTTCTGGATTGAAGTCGAATAAAAATGAAAATATTCTGGGAACAGTGGTTTTTTTGATCAATGACAGAGAAATTTTATTAAATAAGAAATCGTTACGAGTTCGTTTCAGATTTAGGAAGGTAATTCCTAACTACTCTTTTAGTTACAGATTTATGCCAATTACAATTCAGCCCAAAACGTTTGTTGCCTATGATCCCCTTGCTTAGCCAAATAATCTGCCATCCCATTTGTAGTCTTCTTAATCCATTTAAAGGTAGCTTCCAATTGCTTATTTAAATAATCAATTTCCCTTAGAGCTCGCCCATATGCCCATATCAATTGAATTCTTACTTTTTGTCCAGGAAATGACTAACTTTGACACTCCCCCTCCCCCTCCACCTGTTGTAACCCTCGCTGCTTAGATATCCTTAGACCTTGTAGCAGTGCTCGTATTTCATCTTTGAAAGAAACACCAACACCAATTGGGCCTGAATACATTGTCACGGCCTTACCATCTGCATTCCTGAGGACATCCTCAATTCCTGCCGGGCCTCAATTACCTAGAGAGTTCCCAACAAATTTCAGCTTCACGCTATTGTTAACTGGAGGCTTCCACTCCTTCATTATACTTTCTACTATTTCCCATACTCTTAAGAACAGTATTTTTCATATCATATAATTACTAAATGTCCAAGCTCTTATCAAGTCATCCACCAAAAACACTTGAAAGGCTTCTATTGTTTTTACCCAATGTGCAATTTCAACTCCCATGCTTTCCACTATTTCCTACACTCTAAGAACAATATTATTATCATATAATTACTAATTGTCCAGTTGGCATTACTGATGCAAAGAGGAATGCCTTTTGATTTGATTTGATTTGATTTTTTTTATGATGAACTTCCTTAAGCTTGTTACAGCTATCAAAAAATAAGAAATGTTCTGTAGAACTTTTTGAGTAACCGATTTTACTTCTTTTGAATAAAGTGTTTTAATTAAGTGTTTGCTTTTCCATGAAGATCTCCTTCATTACTTTATTGTTCTGCAATGCTGCAGCGATGCTAACTGTTAATGATGATGAGTTCTGGGAGGGAGTTTCACCGGTAGAATTTGGTTCCTTGCCTGCACTCCAAGATGCTGTAACTGTTGTGGGCTACCCAATTGGCGGAGACACAATTTCTGTGACAAGTGGCGTGGTGTCACGCATGGAAATCCTGTCATATGTCCATGGGTCCACTGAGCTTCTGGGTTTACAGGTTATGAGTTGACCTTCTTCCTTTTCATTGTTAAAACCTAATTCCGCCTATTGGTACTTGGCTAGATGTCCTGATGCATCTCATCTCTGACTTTTGCAGATAGATGCAGCTATTAACTCGGGAAATTCTGGTGGTCCTGCTTTTAATGATAAAGGGAATTGTGTAGGAATTGCATTTCAGTCCCTTAAGCATGAAGATGTGGAGAATATAGGTTATGTCATACCTACACCTGTCATTATGCATTTCATTATAGACTATGAGAGGAACAAAGAATACACAGGTATTTTTTTTTTCAACATCCATATTATTTATCTGTCTGATTTATGTAAAGATTCTTATATACCTCAAGATTGTCTTGTTCTATTTCTACTCATTTGTTACAATCTTAAGGTGATAATGGACAAACACATTCTTTTGTTCCCTCTTCTTAAAACATTAGATTGTGTTCTACTTTCCAGGGTTCCCTACTCTTGGTGTTGAGTGGCAAAAGATGGAAAATCCAGATTTGCGCATGGCGATGGGCATGACATCTGATCAGAAGGGTGTTCGTATTAGAAGAGTTGAGCCCACTGCTCCAGAATCTCAAGTTCTGAAGCCATCTGACATTCTTCTCAGCTTTGATGGAATTGATATTGCTAATGATGGAACAGGTGACTATTCCTATGACTGTGTAAGGTTCATTTGTATTATTTATCTTCCAGTTTATTATCATTTTGCCATATACTGTTTCTTGTGTGTTGATTTGTGGTTTCATTACAGGTCCTCCCCCCACCCCACCCCACCCGCATTTCTCTTTCTTGCATAATGTGTACCAGCTTAGGTCGTTATAATATTATCTATTTAATGTTTTAGTTGTCAATAGTAGAAGTTTAGAACTAAGCTTTTTTTGATAGCCATATGCCTTAGTTATATAGTTGTTCCTTTTTGTCAATTGAATTTCATAAATCTGATTCTGGAAAGTGTGCCTTGAAAATTATAGGGTCTTGTGAGCATATTGAAGTTCTGTCATGCTTCTTTGTTGAGCTATATTTTCTTATGCATTATGCAGTGTTACCTTGGTACTTGGGAGTATATAGTTGTTCTTTTTTGTCAATTGAATGGCATAAATCTGATTCTGGAAAGTGTGCCTTGAAAATTATAGGGTCTTGTGAACATATTGAAGAACATATTGAAGTTCTGTCATGCTTCTTTGTTGAGCTATATTTTCTTGTGCATTATGCAGTGTTACCTTGGTACTTGGGAGTTGGAATTGGTGTGAAGTGTTCAGGTTTTCACAGGTTTCTAGCATGTCAACATTCAAAAATATGGCATGCAGACATGGTGGTAAACAATCATAAAAGTAAATAAATAATTAAAAACATAACAAAAATAAGAAAATCGTAGTGTGGAGTGAATGAATAATTTAAAAGCATAGTAAAAATAAGAAAAATCATAGTATGGAGTCCTTGTTTCTTGTTCTCTTTCTCATGGCATCTGGTTTTGAGTACTAAGTGCCATGGTTTTTTGCTGACTGCAGCTTGGAGTGTTATTCAGATGCTGCAAGATCTAGAAACTGGGAATTACAAGATTTTAGTTGATCTTTATTGTTTTTTAATCAGATTTCATAGTCTTGCAGTCTTATTGGTTGAAAATTGCACTCCATATATAGTTGCACAAAAATTCAGTTCTAACTTTATTGCTTGTGTAGAATTTCTTTTCTTAATTTTTGTGCATAAAATTTGTGAAATCCACCCTCTATCTTAAGGACTATTAGTTGGATTTATTGGCTTTGAGTTGAAAAGGACAATTCCTTTGGCTTTCTTTCATAACATTCTTGAAGGGTGACATGTCTTGAGGATTCAAGGTTGTTCTGTACCATCTATTGGGAGATACGAAATACATATGATATGAAGGAACTCAGTTAATGTGCTGTGTTGAAAGCTTATTGGCCACTGTGGACATTGACTCATTGCAAGGGATGTTGTTGAGATTTGTTTGCATTGAAGGGAGAGATGAAGCATTTATCATAAAAAGGAGGGTTGAAGCTTTCAAAGAGGACAATTTGTATCAGATTAAGAGGAACAACCAGTGGGAAGGCATGGATGATTCAGAGGAAAGGAGAGTTGAAGACAGGAAGTGACAAATCAAAATTAGATTATGGTTCAGCGAGTATAATCAGCAAGAATGGAATGGATAGCACTCAATCTTCTGCCCCTTTCACCCCGTCTCCCGTTTCATTTTTATGCACCTTTTCTTTTTTGCATTTCTAAAGACTCTAAAGTCAAAAGAACCATCCTGAGTGACATATTGACATACTAGGTTGCAATAGCCTGGTTTTCTCACTTTCGCAAAGTATGAAGCTTAGTTCCCCCAAGAAGAGGAAAAGATGTAATTAACGTTTACTTAGTTTTCTCTTCGCGAGCATTGACTCCCCATTTTCATTTTATACACATTTTATGAATTTCTTTTTCCCCTGGAGAACTATGGTTTATAAATGTAGTTTTCCTTTTATTGTTGCACTTAAACAAAAACAGATGGCACCCATGAGATTGCTTTTAGTAAACAACTGACTTTCTTTCATGGTGATTTTCAGTTCCATTCAGGCATGGAGAGCGTATTGGATTTAGTTACCTGGTTTCTCAAAAATATACCGGAGAGAATTCTGTAGTTAAAGTACTCCGCAATTCGGAGATTTTTGAATTCAACATAAAGCTAGCAACTTACAAACGGCTCATTCCGGCACATATCAAGGGCAGACCTCCATCATATTACATAATTGCTGGATTTGTCTTTACAACTGTATCTGTTCCATATCTTCGCTCTGAGGTGTGATTCTAGACTTTTTTTAATTGTGTTATTTTGAGTTCTATATTGCAATAATAGGTTGCTTCAGTACATGAAATGAGCTTTTCCCCATTTTATAAGCTGTTATATTTTATATCCAAAAACTTTCTGCTGGGGTTGAACTACTAAAATCAGCAGAAGTATGATATAGTGCCTTTTATTAGCAGAACTTATTTTTTATCCAATTTTGTCTTTTTTTTTGTAAAAGTGTCTCAATCTGACAGGTGTAACAATGTGGGTTAAAGTCTGAGTGGCCACTTTGTGCAATGTAGAAAAGAGAGAAAAGTTTGTTTTTGTACTGTTTGTGGGATGTTTATTCTTTTCCCTCATTGTTTATTATTTAGTTATGGGATTTCCTTTAATTGCCTTAATGGGCTGGCCTGTTTTTTATTTGTTTTTTCGTTATTATAACTACTGCCGCTTTATGAGGGGCAAATATAATCTTGTCTTTATATCTTAATGTATAAAAGAAGTTAGTGAATCTATTAAGCGCTACGATCTGTTCTTCCAATTCTTTTCTCTTCTCCCTTCTTTCTACTCTTCCCTCTTTTTTTTATGCTGAAATGTCTCCCTTTATTCAAAATGATTAAAAACACCTAGTTTGAACGTTCCTGTGATTTTTAACTTGCAAAAAGGAGGCCAAAGGTTAGGTCTTTTCCAGTCCACCCCTCTCAAGGCCCTAGATAGTTGGAACCAACATTGGGTAATGGCCCTTGTTGTCCCTTGTCCTTTTTTGTAAAAGTAATAGAGGAGGCCGAGGTGGGACCCTCGAGGGGTTTTCTGATGAGGAAGAATCATTTTTTCAAGATCTTGAAGATGTTTGACCCTTTTCAATAGAAGACATAAAAATTGGCAATGGGTGATTTCTTCCTCATTAGAAAACTCAAAAGATTCATAGACACTAGGGGTGGATTCGAGTCGAGCTGAGCCGAATAGTACGAGGCTCGAGCTTGGCTTGCCAATGTTGTACAAGGCTCGAGCTAGAACATTAAATGTTTATAAAAATAAAAAAATTATACCTAAAAATTATTTTTTATTTGATATTTAAAAAATTAAGAATTATAATATTATATATATTCGAGCTCGAGCAACTCATGACTAGCTCGGCTCGTGGCCACCCCTAATAGACACTTAGATATGTGATTTAAAAGGCACGCCCTAGGCATACAGGCAAGGCGCATTGCCCAGGTCCTAGGCGAAGAACTTTCAAAAGGTGCATGCTTAGTGCGCCTAGGCATGCGCTTGATGCACCTTGCACCTTGTGTCTTGGCCCGAGCATGCACCTTTTGAAAATTGTATGCTTTTTTGCTTTTTTTGAACCTAGCAATTAGGTTAGGTCAAGAATCCCCTGTTTGCTAATGTTGTTTATTCATTCATCTTAATAAAATATCTTCTTAAAAGGCAATTAAAATTATAAAATCATTATTTTTTGTGTGAGAGTTGAGAATTTAAGACCCTAGCATGGACTTGTTTGGGATTGCCTCGAGGGGCATGGCACAAAGGCGATTCATAGAATCAGGAATGTAATATGTTTTACATCACATTAGCTACTTGAAGTAATGTAATTGAGGAAAAAAAGAGATTATGGGCTTTACATGCTTGAAAATGTTTTATATGTTTGGTTTTATTTTTAAATTTTCATTTAAATATGCTTTACATGTTATGTTTATGTATTTTAATTTTAGATTATAGGTTTTTAAACCATTAATTTAAAAATTTAAGTTTATATTTCTTATTAATAATATGTTTAATATTTTTAATATTTTTACTTTTTTTTGATATTTTGTATTTTGCGCCTTGCTTCAGAAAGGCACGCACCTCGCCTTGTGCCTTGTGCATCGGGTGCAAATTGGCCCTTGCGCCTTTTTTGTGCCTTGCTCTTTTAAAACACTGACTTAGTCAGAGGAAGCTCCATAAGGGCAGAACTGATGGCAGTAGTTCAGGGATTGTGTTTGGCAAGGACTCTTAGTTTAAGGGGATTCAGGAATTATAGTGGGTTGGCTCAAAGAGAATGACAGGGGTTGGTGGCTTTAGTTGAACACATTTAAGGAGATAAGGGCTCTAAGGGGATGAGAATTGAATATACTTGGACATACAGATCAGCAAACTCGATGGGTGCACTATCCAAATAAAGAGTAAATAGGGGTGAGTGATTTTGGGAAGGGGTTGGGGTTTGGACTTTAGTGTTTGGTTTGGTGGTGGTAACTACCCACTTATGGGACTGCTTGGAAGCTTGTAAATAATTCATTATTTTTCACAATCAATAAAGTTACTGGTTAATTATTAAAAAATAAAAAATTAAAGCTCTTTTAGGATGACATATAGGAAACCCTTGACTTGCTTAGGATATGACATATAGGAAACCCTTGACTTGCTTAGGATATGGCATGACTGCCCCCTTTAGAGCTTTGGGAAATATTATGGCAGCCTCATGGCCCTCTACTTGTTGCTATTTTATGGGAATCTTGGGAGGAAAGAAATGGCTAGATATTCCTAATAAAAGTCACTACGAAGACTACTAGAGCTGATTAGTGTTAGGCATAATGCTAGATGCAATGGTTAGATGGTGGATTTTCATGATAAGATCTGCTTATTTTGGAGTTGAGATAGATAAGAAGTGAATATTTTCCACTCTTATTACCGTGATACTTAATTTGATGAGTGTTCAATGGGGAACCTTGTTCCCATTAGGAACTGGGCTGCATTTAGAAATGGTGATGGATGATTATCCTTATGTATTTTAGACCTGTAAGGTTGAAGGATTCATTGAGACTCATTGGTGAGGGACTCCAACTGTCAGTAAGTCCTCTTACAAAAAAAATGTCAATAAGTCCAGGATTTGACGTGCTCATTGGTGAAGGAGACTTCGATTGCCATCGATAGAATGGGGGCAAGATTCAAAGGACCCTGGAGATTTGGCTATCAGGTTAGACATCTGTCAAGATTTCTTAGTTGAATAGACAGTCACTGACAGCATAGGGTCAAATGATTAGAAATGTGTTTTTTTGAGGCCTAAAATGCCCAGCTTCTCTGTCTGTCTTCTTAGATGATTTACAGGGCTGCCCTCTGGTACATGTTTGATACTTTGAGGGCTTGTTCCAAGTATCTTTTTACCTGTAAATTTTTGTTGTCATCAAAAAATAAGAAATAAAGAAAAGAAATAGACATGATTTGATGACAGATCTCTTTTTGACAACCATGGGGCCCACCACAAACTTTCAAACTTGTCCTTGATATGGTTGCTTGAAATCTAGTCATTTTTTATTAATTTTCTGGTATAAATCTAGTCATTGGTTATAAAGGGCTAATATGGTGCCTATTCTGTAGGCTGCAAAAATGGGCTGGGCAAACCTATTACTGGCTGTGTTTGATGGGATTAAGCCACCTGAAGAGCAGCTGGTTGAAGGCCATTCACTCTACTTTTTTGATCCTTGCATAGTTACCAAGGATTAAAATATTGATATAATACTCCCAGTATCAGGCGTTATCATATCCATTTCGGTGCATCCAGATATGCATAGATACACTGATACATGCACATTTTAAAAGGTTTAAAACTTTGGGATGATAGATCCCATCCCCATAAATCTTATAAAATGAAAAAGTAAAAAAAAGCAAAAAGAAAAAACATGCAGTATCAGTCATATTGATACACACCAATACCCCCACCTTTGCTTATCAGGCATGTTGATATTTTAATACTTGATAGTATATTTGAGTTGCAACTGGGATATTGTAGTTTATTTGAGTTGTAATTCTGTACCTAGGCCCCTGATCTGGGTCTGTTGCTCCTGAAAAAGGCACATTGTAATCTGTCTCTTAATAAAATTACATTACCTTTTTCAAAACAAAAAATATTTTAGTACTTGATAGTTACTTCATGCCTCATAACATTTTCTTAACGGTTAAACAGCAATCATTTTTTTAACGTGTACGCATGATGAATTACTGAAGATTATTTTGTATCCTAGCTCATATTTCATATGGGCAAATGTTGCTGCACTATTATTGGTTTTTCCTGAATCTATTTAAAGTCCCAACTCTTTTTTGTTTTTTCTTTGAATACTCCTATCACCAGTATGGAAAGGATTATGAATATGATGCACCAGTCAAACTATTGGACAAGCATTTGCATGCAATGGCACAATCAGAAGATGAACAGCTTGTGGTGGTTTCTCAGGTTTGTCTGTTTTTGTGTATTATTTATTGATTTATTTATTTATCTGTTTTTTTGCAGTTGTTAATTGTTTTTTGTCCGTGACATGTAGTTGTGGAAGTAATTTGCTGATCCTGGATTACATAAAATGATTTTCCTTGACAAATATGTCGCAGGTGCTTGTAGCTGATATCAATATTGGTTACGAGGACATTGTCAATACTCAGGTCAGAATAGACATGTAGAAAATAGAGGTAATTTTGTGTAGCTTGTTACGTTTAATCCATCAGTTACCGAAGTCCCTGTTTTTTCTGCTCTCTAGGTTCTTGCTTTTAATGGCAAACCTGTCAAGAATCTGAAGAGCTTAGCAAGCATGGTTGAAAACTGTGATGATGAGTTTTTGAAGTTTGAACTGGAGTACCAACAGGTTGCTTCCTAGCCCCTACACATGTTTTTCATAATTAAGAGTTGTTGATGTCTGAATGCAGTTTACTTAAAATCTGTCGTGTCTGGCTGTAGCTAGTGGTTCTACAGACAAAGATTGCCAAGGCAGCAACACTAGATATTGTGACGACCCACTGCATACCTTCAGCAATGTCTGAAGATCTTAAGTGAGGAGGCAGAAACAAGGTGGAAATACATGGAATTACCATCTTGCTTACGGAGTATTGACAGTCGAAGTACCTATTATCCTTTTTGGTCAGAATCCCCAATGAGTGTAATGGTCTGCAGTTTTTTGTTGGTTAAATTGATCCCAAAAACAAACAAAAGGCAAGAGCCGCATATGGTATTTCTTTGTAGCTGTTATAGCAAGAAACCAATCTATACAGAGGGTGCTGTGGTATAGAATTTTTCTCCGCATCTGTTGGATGCAGGAGCGGAGTAAAGCATGAGGGGTGTGAAAGTGAAATTGGTAGTGATGCATGACATAGATGATAGATATATGCTTTTTGAGAAGTTAAAATTCTGCTGCATTGATGCTTCTGATATAAAGAAGATTGAAATGAAAAAAGAGTTGGGGTTTTTCTTTTGTATTTTGTGTTCGCTTACTGTTCGGATGTATATTCAATGCTAGAAGGAAAAGAAAATGATATGAAATTGTTCATGGATGGTCGATGGTGAGAAATCATGGGAAGAGGAGAAAGGCCGTAATATGAGGTTGGGTCGTCAGGTGGCAGGAAGGAGGAAGCTCTGCCTCTGTTGTATTTTTCTCCAGGTATTTTCCTGTTTTTAAAATGAAGTCCAGTCCAGGCTCCAGGGTTACGCTATTGCCGCCATTTTTCCTGAATACTTGACTTTTTGGTCGGTACTCGGTACTCGGTACTCGGTACTCGGTAGTAGCATTCTTCTATCAATTCAATTTTATTTAAAAGCCGTAGAACGGGCCCTTGTTATGTAGTTGTTACGGGGTTTACTCCATTTCGACACAGGCTCTCAACTCTCTCCACATGCAGCCATGCCTTTCAGGCTTCAGCACTATAATGATTGATGAAGTTTATATGGACTGACGTGGACAGCGCAGGACAAAGTAGAATAATAAATTGAATGGAGTCACAAAATACAAAAAGGTTAGTGGTTGGAGTTGGAGACGATCATCTCTGGGTTGTGACTTGTGAATTGCGTAGGGTGTAGGGTGGGGGAGAATTTGATGATGGTTGGTTGTTACCCGTTTCCCTTTGGTGTGTGCCTACTGCCTAGTGGTGGACTGGTGGGTTGAGAGGTGAATGGCATTGAAATGTATTATCTATTATGTGATCCTTTTCCAAAATTCCAATTCATACATGAGATGAGATGAGCTGTACTTGACAAGTCGCCGCTGTTTCTCCGCCACAGGCTCAACCAAGAACCAACTTCGTGGTGACTCTGTGTCACCGCCTACCGCCTCTATTCGTTTGTTCATCCAGTGTAGGTTATGTATTTCTGATCATTTTTATTTAGCATCCATTTTTTATTATTTAATTATGTTTTATTTCTATAGAGATGAATAACAATTATTTATTTATTTTTTATTTAACTATTCACACTTTTGAAAGAGTGGTTTGACACGTGGTTAAGCTTGAAGACTTTTAATCGGAAATAGAGTTAATCATTTTCAACATTTTTAGAGTGATTTGAATTGTATTTAAAAATGAGAACAAACCACTTTTGAAACTAAAAAATTAAACAGGAAGCCACTTTGTCACTTTTTTACTCATGATTGCTGATCATTTTTGTTTAACACCATTTTTATTATTTAATTTAAGAGATTAAATTGAGTTTTATTGTTATAGAAATGAGAAACAATTATTTAATTGTTTTTTATTTAACTACCCTCACTTTTGAAAGAGTGGTTTGACACGAGTCCACGTTGTGTGCATTGGACGAGTGCACCCACCAATCACGTTCCATGGCTTCTCAGAAACATTTCTCCCTTCTCCTTCTAGTAAGCCTGTTCTTTGTTTCTCATCTACCCATCCTTTCTCCATCTCTTTCTACTATATCAATCTCTGAAAACTGTAACTTCACCTTAATTTGTGTATTAGTGCCATGACAAAACAAAACAGCATTACCATTCCTTAATTGTACTAGTTTTCCTAGTGGAATTCTGATTACCCCAGCAAATCCCAGTTTTCCGATTTCTGATACCGCCACTGGAATTGTCTCTCGCTGCCAATGGCTTCATCGTTCACAGGGGGCGCCGGTGAGCTGCAACTGTTGGAGGTTCTAGGGTTCAAAATGAATATAGGGAGGGGGAGTTTGAACTCTTGTGAAATGAAAATAAAAATTTTTGTCATTTTGGCTCAATTTGAAAACAATACCACCAATACAAATATGTAGAATACAAATACATAAAAAGTAATACAAAATACAAGATTTTATATTCTACATATTTACATTTGTATTCCTTCCAAACTGAGCCTTTATCGTTTTGGGCCGCCCATCGGGCTACCTGGCCATGAATAGGTCTAAACATACCTAATACAAAGATGAATACATGATATAAGAAAAGCTTGGTTGTGTGTAACAAACAGTCTGCGCTGTTTTTGAAGCTTCTCTTACATGACACGTTAGCCCAATTAGTTTATTATTAATCTTTTTTAATTAAAAAAATATTGATTATAATTTACTCAATTACCCCACACCCATACTAACGTGTCATGCAGATAATGCTTCAAAACAGCCCACTCCAAATAGTTAAGCCTTTCCCTACGTGATATTATTACTTAAATAAAACAAAAAACAACCATCCAACCAAAATAACAACAAATGAGAAGAAAAAGAAGAAAGGAGGTGATACAAAGATGGGTGTTGTGGGGTGATCTGTTTATAATATTAATGTATGATTGAATTGAGATCCGAATCAACCAATATTACTATACACCATAAAGTCTGTTTATAATAACATATGCTTATTATCGAAAGTTCGGTTTAACTACTGAATTTGTACAATAAGTTTGAAGCTTTGAATATATATGATAAAATTATTTTATTAATAAAGTATAATATTCAGGTATTTTAATTTAATTTATTAGTGGCGAATGGCGATTAATGGGATCAAACTCGGATGGGATGCCACTATGCTGTAAAATGGTTTAGTAGGTCCCCTCTCACAAGGCACGGAGAAACTCTTATTCCACGTGGAAAGTTTATTATTATTATTATTATTATTATTAGGGGTTTAGATACAAAAATGAAGGCACGGACGCTGAGTCAATTAATCTTTTATAGTTTTATATAGTAGGACAAGACAAGCGACCGAAAGATGTTTCTTCGATACGACAATTCACTCCTCGTCATCTCCCATGCGGCGAGGTTTCCTCTCAGTGCCCCCACTTGCCACATGTCAAAAACTCAAACCAAGATTCTGTGGATCCCTCGTCCTTTCCAGTCTAGCATTAGCATAGTAGGAGTCAGGAGAGGAATTGGAAAATGACTCAAAACCCGAAATTGCAGTGACCGGGCCCAACCAGCAACCAGGGTATGGCCTAAGGGTCCAGCGGTCTAGTCAACCCAGTCCCATTCGGGCCCCATCTGGCGTCGAAGGTGGAACTGTAACCTTATCATTGGTTCCACTTCCACACCCCCGCTGAACGAACAGTAAAGCATTCAGCTAAACCTTGCTCTTGTGATTGTGTTTCGCCTTCGGCCTGCCATCGACATCAGCAACAGCAAGCATTTCTCACTCACTCATTTTCTCCCTTCCGTCAAGTTTCAGACCCTTTTTTTCCACCCGCTGACGTTAGAAAAGGTATTTGGAGGGAGGTGCGATCGGCGTAGAAAATTGTGGAGGTTTTGTCCATTTCCGAGTTCCAGGAAGCACCCTCCCCTGGTTCAATTGAAGCAGTAGTTTCCCCAGTAAAAAAAAAAAATTGTCTTTTTTCTTTTTCCTTTTTTCTCTGGTTATATATATATACATTTGCTGGTTCTTATGGACCAGACGGAGAGATGCGAGAGGAAACAGGGTCGAACACCATTAATACCATGGACTCCCAAGCTACCGAACCTGCAACAACCTTCTCGGCCACCGTGAACGACTATTCCAATATCAAGATGATCAACGCCGATTTGCTTGCTGAAGAAGCATGCGTCGGGACGCACCCCGATAAGGCCGATAAGGCTGTTGTCGCCTCTCCGGTGGGAAAGACTTCTCGGATGGTCCAAAACAACGGAGAGTATGCTGTTGTCGCGTCTCTCGCCGTTGATGCTGCTGCCAGGAATACTTTGGCAGCTGAGTCAACGCCCAGAGGCAGAGGAGAGGTGGATGGGGTTAAGGCCGTTTTGTCGATGGATGCCGTTGTAAGGGTGTTTTGCGTTCATACGAAACCCAATTTCTCTCTCCCTTGGCAGAGGAAGCGACAATTTAGTTCCAGTAGCTCTGGGTTCGTTATTGCCGGGCGGAGAATATTGACAAATGCCCATTCCGTGGATTACCATACCCAGGTTAAGCTCAAGAAGCGTGGTTCTGATACCAAGTACTTGGCCACTGTCTTAGCAATTGGCACGGAATGCGATATCGGTATGTCGGATATCTTTTTATTTAGTTTTTTATTAGAATTGCATTGTACTAGTGAAAAGCCTTATCAACAGTTGATTTTTTACTAAAATTCTGCTCATGAACTTCTTTTGTTGTTCTCTTATCGCCACGGCAGCGATGCTAACAGTTAAAGATGACGAGTTCTGGGAAGGCATTTCGCCAGTGGAGTTTGGGTCCTTGCCTGCACTCCAGGACGCAGTCACGGTAGTAGGATACCCAATTGGGGGAGACACAATATCAGTGACAAGTGGTATCGTCTCTCGCATAGAGATGTTGTCATATGTTCATGGGGCATCTGAGCTTCTGGGTTTGCAGGTTATGAAATTGGGTTCTCACTATTCTCCAATATTTCATCTTACCTGCCAATTTTAATGGCATATTACCTGGCAGGTTTCATTTTTGAACTGAATTTACAGACGGATGCAGCTATTAACTCGGGAAATTCTGGTGGACCTGCTTTCAACGATAAGGGACATTGCGTGGGTATTGCATTTCAATCTCTTAAACATGAAATTGCGGACAATATAGGTTATGTTATACCAACTCCGGTTGTTATGCACTTCATTCAAGATTATGAGAGGAATGGAGAATATACAGGTATGATGCTCGAATATGGCTCCAGATGCTATTTTTCTTAATTCAGTATCTGTACTTAAGGTTCAGTTTGGAAAGAGTACAAATACAAATATAGACAATACAAATAGATACAAAATACAAGGTTTTGCACTCTACATATTTGTATTTGTATTCCTTCCAAACTGAGCCTTAGTAGTCTCTTCTGGTTCTGATATTAGATCTCCTTCAATCTCAATGGTACATATATTAGGAGTTAAAGTAACTATTGTTTTTGGTTGAATGCTTGAAACTGGCGTTTCCTTTTTCTATCTGAAGTATTGGGACCATTCTCTACATGCCAGGGTTTCCAACTCTTGGAGTTGATTTACAGAAGATGGAAAATCCTGATTTGCGCATGGCAATGGGTATGGCATCAGACCAGAAGGGTGTTCGTGTTAGAAGGATTGAGCCTACATCTCCATTATCTCAGGTTCTGAAGCCATCTGATGTTATACTCAGCTTTGATGGAATTGATGTTGCTAATGATGAGACAGGTAGGGTATCTGTGCGGTTTATTTCCTTCATTAACTTCCTGCGCTTTACTTGATGTTAAATTGTGGTTCATGCTGGTCTTCTTTTGTTTCTTGTATTATGCTCATTCTTGGGTAGCTCTGCTATCCAATTAAACATTGAACCACCTACAGTATTGGTTTAGTGAGCATAGGACCATCAATTCCCAGATTGCTATATCATGGCCCTACTTTGTTGAACTACACTTTTCAATTCATTTTATTGTGAAAAACTATAAATTTAATCCTGTTACTTGTGAACTTCCATAAGAAATCCAATTAGCTGTAAATTATGTTACCTTGTAAGAAGAGAAAAGCATGCTACTTCTTTTAGTGTTTCTTTTATTTAGAGCACTGGATAAGCTATGCAAGACTTCTGGGGGAAGTTTGTGGGATTTTAGATTTAGTTTAGATTTAGGTTTGGAATGCAGGTAAAATAGGATGTACAATTACAATTAGGCACTGAAACTAGGGTTATTTGCATCTGAGAATTATGGGTTTCATGGCTGAGTGAAGTATTGCAAGTCTTACCCTTCTGTTAACTTGAGTATTTCAAATGCTGATTTTGTGTTGTTAAAGCAGGAAACTGACTTTCTTCATTGGTGATTTTCTAGTTCCATTCAGGCATGGAGAACGTATTGGGTTTAGTTACCTGGTGTCTCAAAAATATACCGGAGAGAATGCTGTGGTTAAAGTTCTTCGCGATTCAGAGATTCTTGAATTCAACATAAAACTTGCAACTTACAAACGGCTTATTCCAGCACATATCAAGGGCAGACCTCCATCATATTACATTATTGCTGGATTTGTCTTTACAATGGTATCTGTTCCATATCTCCGCTCTGAGGTGTGTAATAACTTCATAGCTTAAATACATTTTATTGTAAATAAATCTCATTTCCCGTGGTTTTGTGAATTCTATGTTACAATAATAGGGTATGTGAATACAGTGTTGTTAGCTGCTCTGCATTTTAAAACCATTTGTTTCTTAGTTCCAAAAAGCTTCAGCTTTATGGCTTTATGGCTTTATGGCTTTATGGAATTGGACTACTTATATAATCAAGAGTTTAATTTGACAATTATTTGGTACTTTTTCTATCACATTGTTAAAGTCATTTTTTTTATTCAAATAATTTGTAATAAGTGGGCTAGCTAGTCTACTAGCCAAATCATTAAAATTATAAAAAAGTATCCCGTATGGGAGTTCCCCCTCTTAAGTGGGGAGTTCTCTCTCTTTAAGTGGGGGATTCCCTCTCTTTAAGTGGGAGGGACAGGTGTCCTTCACCTAGGAGGAGGGGGTAGTTACATAACCACCCCACTCCCTATTTAAGCTCCTTAAGAGGAAGCTAGAGACACACAGAGAGATTCTTTGGAGAAAATTTTCACAAGAGATTCTTATGAAAAGCAAAGATAAGGAGAGAAGAAAAGAGAAGTGCTCAAGGGAAGGCAAAGAAGGAAAAGTATTACTAATACAGGTAGAGAAAAGGAAAGTCCTCTCTGCGAATACTTCCTATTTATGTCTTCTGCTATGTATCCTTCTTTCTCTCCCTTTTGTTATCACTTTTGATAAAGGAAAAAGAGGGAAATAAACCATCTACAACTAGGTGCCTTTACTTGGTTGATTATGGTCCCTCTTTCAAGACAAAGTTAGGGATTAAACCATCTAGAGTCTAATTCTCTTAGACTGATTATGGTTCCCTTCAAGTGAAAATGAAGAGTAAGGGGGAATAAACCATCTACAACCAGGTGCCTTTACTTGGTTGATTATGGTCCCTCTTTCAAGACAAAGTTAGGGATTAAACCATCTACAGTCTATCTCTAAGGCTGATTATGGTTCCCTTCAAATGAAAATGAAGAGTAGGGGGGAATAAACCATCTACAACCTGGTGCCTCTACTTGGTTGATTATGGTCCCTCTTTCAAGACAAAGTTAGGGAGTAAACTGTCTACAGTCTAAATCTCAAAGGCTGATTATGGCTCCCTTCAAATGAAAATGAAGAGCAAAAGGATGAAAATCGTCTACAATCAAATATTCAATTTGATTGACTACGGTTCCCTTTTTGTGTGCAAAATTCCAAGGAGTAAGGCTATCTACAATCAGAATTTCATCTGATTGACTACAACTTATTATGAAGAAAGGAGTGAGAAGGAAATTTTCTTTTGTATTAAAGAAAAGAGAAATGTATTGCTGTATAGTTTCTCAATTGTATTTTCTTTTTCTTTCCTCTCATTCTTGTACACCTGATGTAAAAAAAAAAGCAAATGAAAAGTTCTTTTTAAGTATCCTATTGTTCTTTTCTTTTGTTCTATGTGCTCATTTCTCCAAGTCAGAATCAAAAGGTGTTCTCTACTTTCTTGTGGGGATGTAATTAAGGGGAACAATCCGTATGATTCCCTGAATGGGCCTTACCCAAAATAATAAAAACTCAATCACTTGATTGAGTGAATTATGTTGCATGAGAGTTTATTAAAATTTTCACACCAACACACGTGGGAATTAATTTCCCTTTTTTGCCATTCTTTTTGTTTTTATTTATTTTTCTCATGAAAGTAATTGTGTCTAAACACGGATTGATATAAACTTCCATTATTTACGATTGTTGAAACATTTTTCATTGTATATCAGGGAAATTGATTCTTCAAATAGCACTGTTATTAACAACTTTTCATATGAATGGGGATAGAAAACTAGCAGTTGCTTGGTTATTAAATGTGATGTTTGTTTATTGCAATTTTTGTTGACCTAATGTCGAGATTTATACTCATGAAAAATATTTATATTTATGTTGATATTTTATTTTCTTCTTGCTCTAAAATTCAATTAATAGTTTTCTTTGTGAATTGATAAATAGTCGGCAAATAATCAACATAAAATTATGATTAATGATCATTTTAATACTACTCCTAACATAAATGAATTAGGAGTGTGTGGAGGAAATGAAAAGGTCTAGTAAGAGAGGATTCATTTGTAAATTGGATCTTGAAAAGGCCTATGATTTGGTGGACTGGAAGTTTCTATTGGAGGTTATGCAAAACTGTGGACTTGGGGACAAGTGGTGTAGTTGGATCTTTGGGTGTATCAGTACTTGTCACTACTCTATTCTAGTAAATGGTACG